TTTTGTCAGCTTACCGCAGTATGACTCGTGCAAGGGCGGGGTCGTTCTTTTTTTTTTTTAATATGAGTTTAACTCTCCTCTTCTCCTTTTTGTGTTTGTAACTCTTTTGTAACACCTTTAACCTTCGGCACTTATATAAGCAGATGGTTGGAGGGCTCCACTGGTAGGTCCTGCTTCTTTACTTTCCCTCTGTCATTTGTCTGTCTGTCTTACCTTCTCCCAGCACTAAATGACCAATATTGTGTCGACGTGCTTCTGTTTACTCCAACAAACAATACAAACAAGCACGTATATTACATGACTGCGTTGCAAATGCCTCAAAACTCTAACTAAAACCAAAATAAGCTCATTATTAGATGTAATGTTAATTTATACTAGTCACTTCTGTCAGTGGTCTAAAATAATAGTTCGGCTCTTCGTTGTTGCAACCAGAAGACTTGAGCTCGATTCTCAAGTTGGTGGGGGGAGGGAGGGGGGGTATATTTTGCGAGCACTTCCATCTGTCTTTTGCGATATTGTATCCCACTCGACCCGGGTTGGGTCTGACAAGTGTGGTCGAAGCAATACACCTCAGAATTATCTTAATTGTGTCGAGGTGAACGTAAAATATTTACGATCAGTATATAAGAATCGTTTCGAGTGAGTCATTTCATTAGAGAGGCACAGGCAGACTGGGAAATCACGTAGAACTTCCGTTTAACGTGAATGGGCTTTAAATTAACGATGACTTTAATTACTTCAATCAGCCTTCTCCGTCTGCGTTCCAATCTTGAATTCCAAGACGGCGTTGTTCCGAGACTGGTTCAACGACAGAAATGTGATTGTCAAAAAACACTCGACTTATTCAAAGTGTTATATACATGTATTACAGAAGTAGCTCCAGTTGTATGAGCAATCTATTCTCGAGTTGGCACTACAGATTAATCACCCTATCAAATCAGTACAATGTGCGCGCATTGACATGCATATGAAATAAACAACAGACATTATTATACGCACAACTTCTTTGGTGGCAGCTAATTGGAAACAGAAAAAAAGAACTGAGTTCATTATGAAAGGAAAAAAGGCGGAGATACAGATATTATTTTGCTGTACAATTGCAAAGGAAAGACGTTCTTGAGCTTTTTCACACCACGCCCCTTCCTTGTGGAACGCTTTACCAGCTCATCTACGGGTGTCCACCACTTTATCAAAATTTAAATCAGCACTTAAAACGCATTTGTTTCAGTCCAGCTTCAATCTGTAATTTCCGACTTTGAGAGAGAGAGA